ATGTAAAATATACATATGTAAAATAATTTCATGAAGAGAGTTCTTCCAAAAACTTCTTTTATATCAAATGCTTACCTGACCCATTTGTTTCTCAATTTTGTCAAGTAAGAGCCTTGGAATATCGATAGCGACATTAGTTCCATCTAAAGTATACTGGTTAACAAGACTAAGGACTGCATTAACAATTTCTCTTTCTTTTTCCAAAAACGTGAGTGTTTCATTCACTGAGGCCCACAATGACCGCACCTTTGAAAACAGAGAGAAGATCTATACATAATCTGTACATACATCAAAGTAATGTAAAACACAAATATATACTCACTCCCAGGAATAAAGTATTCCTGGAATGATTTCTGGCGAGAAAATTAACCATCTAAAAGCACTAAAATTAATTAATTAATTAATTAACCATCTAAAAGTACTGATACTACTTCCAAAGGGGCTTTAAAACTGAAGAATTTCTCAGAAGATTTTAGCCAACCATGATTTTCAAAAAAATCTAAAAAATCGCATGGTACCAAGATGCAATTAGCATTTCCTGTGTTTTGATATGCCACCAATCTAACAGAAACTTTTCAGGGAGAAATAATAAAGATTTTCAGGAGGGAAAAAAAAAATACTACACATCAATTTTAAGAGTTATTCAAGTTTCAAAAGGTAAAAATGTGAAAAACCATGTTCCTTTATTATTTTTTTAATGTTTATTTACTTTTAAGAGAAAGAGACAGAGGTGTGAGCGGGGGAGGGGCAGAGAGAGGGGGAGACAGAATTCAAAGCAGGCTCCAGGCTCTAAGCTGTTACACAAAGCCTGACTCGGGGGCTTGACCCTACAGACCACAAGGTCATGACCTGGGCTGAAGTCGAACACTTAACAGACTGAGCCACCCAGGCACCCCCAAAAATCCACTCTCCTTTAAAAGCTAAGAATCTTAGGTGGCTCAGTTGGTTGAGGCTCCAACACATGATTTTGGCTCAGGTCATGATCTCACAGTTTATGGGACTGAGCTCATGAACCGTGCACTGACAGCATGGGGCCTGCTTGGGATTCTTTCTCTCCCTCTCTCTGTCCCTCCCCCGC